GCAGCTTTCAGCTGCTTCAATTACTCGGACACACACACACACACACACATATATATATATATATATATACACATTCAAGCACAAACCTGCAAATGTGAACTCGTCATAATGCTTTTTTCCAAAAGTTATTTAACAAAAGCGCAAATTTTACAGGCAAATTATAGAAATTCATTAAGAGTTGCCGCGCTGAAAAAATTATATACTTTCCCCCTCTACGATTTGCTCATTCGTTTCGATGTCAAGTTGGTGCTGTTATACGTTAGGGAATCGAGTCCGCTATCAATTTATTTATCCCTCGAAAGAGGGACCGATCAAAAGCTTTGCCAGTTTGCTATTAGTGCTTCCGCTCCTTTCCGAGTGCTTCCGCTCTTCACGGACGAGGTTCTGAGTTTCGAGTGAAAAATCTCAAGTCTGTTCGAGAAATACTGCTGGTAACGGTAATTTGCATAAGTGCAAGAGCAAAAATTTGTATGATATGATAGTTTTCTTATGTAGCGGGACAGTCTGATAAGTTTTCGTATCTCATACACTAACGTAATTTGACCGGCTGGTTTTTTTTTTATTTACGTTGATCCAAATTTCTAGCTTATTAGGATGATCCAGACTTAAGGGCTACATCTCATTTCTTGCGCCCACTAGTCTTCTAAAGCTGTCATTCTTCACAGTCGTGCCTGTTTCGGTTTTGTACTTGAACGCCGAAAAAACTTGCTTTTGGATCCATCATTCAGCAATTGATGGTTTGTACAAAATTTGGTAGATGGCTCAGTTGTACTACAGTTGAGCCTATCTCTCGTACCGGTACCGTAACCGAAATTATGATTTCTGAAAAGTCTGCTTTTGTGGGCTGAGGGAAATAAATGTCTCGAAAGACTGCGACTTTTGCGACAGACGACTTCAAATTCGAAGTTCGTAAATTGTGGCCTCATATTAAGAGTTACAGGCATGCTTTATGGCCTCAAATTGCAAATGATCAGTTTTGTAAATGATTAGATTGCTTACTTGCTGATGAATGTGTGGTTTTGAATTTGACATTTGAGGGTAAGCGCAAAGGGAAGAGAAAAAAATCATTGGCGAAGCGCACTGGCGGCTCGTGCGATCATGCGTTTTTGCAGTGTTTCGTGCTGCAATAAGATCACTCGAAATTCCGCTAGCTAGAAATCTCTTGTACATACTGGTCCTCGAATTTCGGGAAGTTAATTATCCACGCTGTACTTGGACAGGGACCGTTCCCTTGAAATCCCAGGTTCGCAGCTTTCTCATTTCCCGAGTTACCCAAATTCCAGCCAAAAATTTTCACGAGGCCGTACGTGGCAACCACGCATAAAGGGGGGCTGAATTTAATAAATTTAAGTTGTAGATGGCTAGGGAACATTTCCTGAAAGTTTCAGCCTCCCAGCTTCCCTGGTTCCGGAGCTAGCCATTTTCCCGCGAAAAACTTTCACGGGGCCGTATGCGGGAACCACGCATAACGGGGGCTCTTATTTGATAAATTTAAGTTGTAA